GAATATGTTATTTAAGAACATGTTTTTAAAATAAAGGCAGGATGTGAGAGCCTTAACAAGGGCAATAATGGCAGGGATAGAGAGAAGACACATTTGAGAAATATTTAGCATATAAGTTTGATAGTACTCAGTGTGTTCAGTTTTAAACACTTGAATTTGAGGAACCAACAGAATGTTTAAAGGTGAAGTAAGTCAGCAATACAAGTCACAAGTCCGAAATTCAGGGGAGAAGTCTGAGATGAAGATATGTATTTGGGGGTGGGTGCTAGTTCAAACCACAAGAATACGTAGAAAATGGGCCAAGGATGAAAGTCCAGAGAACAACAACATTTAGGATGCTTCCCTTCAGAGAATTTACTGAAGGCAAGTGATTAGGAAGAAGTGGTCAGAGAAGAGGGAGAAGAGAATTTCAAGGAGAAAGTGGTTGGTATCAAATGCAGAAGTATCAAAGGTGAAAACTGAAAAGATATAACTTCAATTTGGCAATCAGATTGTCACTTGTGACAAGAGAAAGAGCAGGGTCAATGAAATGATGAGGGGTTAAGAGACCATAATGAGTTGCAGCGAGGAGGTAAAAAGAACAAGCATAGACTACTCTTTGATGAAATTAGGATAGAACAACAAGAGGAACACAGAGTTTTACCTAGTGGGGACCTCGTTTTCCTATTTTTTTTTTTTTAATGAAAGAGGTGTGACAGGGAAGGGTAATAGGAAGAGGCTGCAACAGGGAGAAGCTGAAAACGCAGGACAAAGAACAGATAAATGAGGGAGCCAGGTCCCCTAATACTGTTACTGAGCATCTCCACCTGGATGTCTCATCATATTGCAAACACAAGTCTGAGAGTGCACTCTGATCCTCCCCTTGCAGCCTCATCTTTTCAACACTGTTTTCCATTTCAGCAAGTGGCACTACCATGTTAGCTGGTGCCTATGTAACAAGCCTAGCACTCATCCTTGACCCTTCACTACCCCACATATCAATACAATTTCTACTCTTCAGTTCTTCTCAAACTGTCAACTTCTATTTCTATCATTATCACCTTAGTTCAAGACACCATCATCTCTTACGTGTACTAGTGCATAGGTTCCTAACTGGCCTCACTGCATCACCTTTGCCCCACTTTGATTCAGTCCTCAAAGTGAGGATCAGATTGCTCAAATCTGATCATGTCATTTCTCTGCTTAAAAAATCTTTTAATGGCTTTCCTTTTTTTTTTTTTTTTTTGAGACAGAGTCTCACTCTGTTGCCCTGGCTAGAGTGCGGTGGTGTCAGCCTAGCTCACAGCAACCTCAAACTCCTAGACTCAAGCAATCCTCCTGCCTCAGCCTCCGTAGTAGCTGTGACTACAGGCATGCGCCACCATGCCTGGCTAATTTTTTCTATATATTTTTAGCTGTCCAGTTAATTTCTTTCGATTTTTTGGTAGAGATGGGGTCTCATTCTTGCTCAGGCTGGTCTCCAACTCCTGAGCTCAAATGATCCACCCACCTTGGCCTCCCAGAGAGCTAAGATTACAGGCGTGAGCCACCACACCCGGCCTGGCTTTCTATCATCTATATGAACTTACACTTGTCTATCTCTCTGACCACTCTTCCCCTTTGCTCTCTCTACTCCAGCTCTACTGGACTTTTCTCTTGGCATGTTCCCTTTCCATCTTGGGGCTCAACTCCTCCTCATCCTTATAATCTTGTCTTAGGCATCACAACATCAAAGAGGACTATGTTCCCCTGTTGTACCTCTACAGAGTTCCCTGTCTATCTTCTTCAAGGCACATGTCACAACTGTAACTCATTAAATGACTTGTGCAATTATTTAATGACTGTCTTTCCCACCAGACTGCAAACTTCTGGGTTTGCAGAGACAGTGTGTGTATGTTTAAAGCTGTATTCTCCCATGCCTGAAACACAGTACTCTTAATATAAGTTCTTGAATGAGAAGAATAAATGAATAAGAGATGAACTATGAGGAGGAAAAGGGACATTTCCTCCTGACACTGAAGGATATAAAGTGGGATAGGTGCAAATTTAGATAAGTTGAATAATAATTATGGTGGCACTAAGACTAAGGAAAAAAATAGGCAGTTTAGAGAATTCACATCCTGTAGCCCTGATTTTCTTGCACTGGCAGAGTGTTGAGACAGGGCGGATAGTGTTTGAATAGATTATGGCTAAAGTTTGAAGTAAATGCTGAAAGGAGAAGGGAGAAGAGCAAGGAACATGACCTCGAGTTAGTAAAAGACTGTTTTTGTGATAGTTGTAAGGGGATAATTTCACACAAAGGTGGAAACCACAAGACAAAAACCTATTAAGTCAAGTGAATCAGAGAATGGATTTCTCTGTTAAAAGTCTAAATACTACCAACTTTATTCTTTCAAGAACATAATATAGTACCTGACTTGACCTACTAAAACTTTGCTAGAAGAATTTATTTATATGGTTAAGAATGACTTACAAATAACATATTTGAAAGTAATTTTATTCTTTAAAAATATCTGAGATAATTAACATTACTTTTTATCAAGTCTTTTTTTTTTTTTTTGAGACAGAGTCTCACTGTGTTGCCCGGGCTAGAGTGCCGTGGCGTCATCCTAGCTCACAGCAACCTCAAACTCCTGGGCTCAAGCGATCCTTCTGCCTCAGCCTCCCGAGTAGCTGGGACTACAGGCATGCGCCACCATGCCCAGCTAATTTTTTTCTATATATTTTTAGTTGTCCGATTAATTTCTTTCTTTTTTAGCAGAGACGGGGTCTCGCTCTTGCTCAGGCTGGTTTCGAACTCTTGAGCTCAAGCAATCCACCCTCCTCGGCCTCCCAGAGTGCTAGGATCACAGGCGTGAGCCACCACGCCCGGCCCTATCAAGTCTTTTTGTTTGGGTTTTGTCTGTTTGTTTGTTTGTTTTGGAGACAGAGTCTTGCTCTGTTGCTCAGCTGAAGTGCAGTGTGGCGATCACAGCTCACCACAGCCTCGAACACCTGGGCTTAAGCGATCCTCCTGCCTCAGCCTCCCGAGTAGCTAGGACTACAAGCACACACCACCACACCTAGCTAATTTTTAAATTTTTTGTAGAGACAGGGTCTTGCTATATTGCCTAGGTTGGTCTCAAGTGATCCTCCCGCCTCAGCCTCCCAAAATGCTGGGATTACAGGCACATAAGCCACTGTGCCCAGCCATGTCAAGTTATTTTAATTACATAATTAATTTCTTAGAAAAGTTTTTTTACAGATAGATAAAGGTAAATAAGCTGTTATTTAGTCCATTACAATAAAGTTCTTCCTGGTGGGATGCAAATTAATATCCCATTGGTTCCACTGGCCAGTAAGTAAGATAAGACATAAATTGGCACAAAAATCTCATTCAACATGCAATTACTCTCCACATCCAGCAGTATTTAAGAGCTGAAATAAGTAGCTTTTGAAATAAATAGCTATAAATAGTTGAACTAAATACTATTAAGTAAAAGCTGCCTAATAGTAGCTAACAGTGGTTCCTTGGAGAAAATAATTCCAGGCACATGTTCCCACTCTCCCTCCAGGTGGTGCTATAGCTAAAAGTAGAGAAGAGTTAACAGCTTGAGCAAAGACAGCTTGCCTTGTTGCTGTTGTTACTAAATATAACAGCTTTATCTGCCTTGTTTCTTGGTATTCCCTTTTCCACTCAGGCTCACATAATTCCATAATGCTTTCTGACTAGCTGAGATTCTAACACTGTGAAGCAAATATAAAGATTCTCAATGGAATGACCAGGAATAACTTTAGCAAGATTATGAAAAAAGTAAAGTTCTTCTCTTGCACTCTCCTTCAAGGCGGATGCCTGTCCCTTCTCTTCTTTCAGGATCCCTACTATCTCCTTATCCCTGCCAAATGGTGCTTCCACTCCTGCAGATCCCAAACCAGTGCTGTCATTCCAGCTCTCCATCATCTGTCAATGCATGCCTACAGAGGCATTAGCCAAAAGTGTGCTTCCTCTGACTCAAGATTACCTGCATTTTTTAAAGGGCCATTTTAATACAAAAAATGCTTCCACAAACTATTAAGGGCATATTGATATTCAGGGGTAGTGGGATCTTTTATCTGGCATAGAAACAGGTTAGATAAAAGGATAAAATCTAAGCTACAAAAGGAAGTGTGAGGAAAAGTTGGCCCTGCTATTAGTTCTTTCCACCAGTGTTCCTAACTACAAATCTCATAGTTAATCAACTCACATCAAGAGTCTTTAAAGGATAACTATCTAAACCCTGCCTGTAAAAGTTTTGTTCCCTAAGCACCCAGCCCTCACCCCCAAATACACCCATGAAGAATCTACCCTTCTCTCACAAAGACGAGAATAAAGGAAGGACTTAGTTTACCTGACCTCTGGCCTTAACCCTTAAAAATTGAGGCCAGAATAGCACATTAGCAGATCTTACATCTCAAATTCAACACATCAAAATGAACCACCCAGGAATTCACACCTATGAACCCAGATATTAGAGAGGCTTTAGAAACCACATGGTACAAACACCTTGTTACAGATGGAGAATATGAGACTCAGGAGTAGGGTGACTTGTCCAAGGCCACATATTGATTAATGGCAGAACCCACATCACTATTATTTCTACCACCCCACTAACTCTTTTTATTTTGTTAATGCAGGGGGTATAGCCATAATAACCCTATACATCTTTCCTGGATAAACCTCCAATACAAAATAATTTTCTTGAAATTTATGCCAAGATTTCCTTCCCATTTCCTAGAATTTCTTAAACATTGATTTATTTTATGAAGCTGGAACAAAATACTCTTCCATGTACATGCACTGCTTTACAAAGTTAATTTTCAGATCAGTAAAATATAGATTATAAAATATAGTTTATGACGAGGATATTAAAACCATTCTCAGGTCTCATTTTACAAGCTCACAAAACAAGGTTCTCAGTGTTTTTAATCCTCTACAACAGGCTCTAGCAAAAAAACCCCAAAAAAACCTAAAATTTCTTGAGTTGAGAAACTACTACTCTAACCTTTGACAAAACAGTTCAGCTGCATAAATGAAATAAGTTTATCATACGTACTTAAAGCTCTAGAATGATCCGGGTTCCTTATTCCCTTTGCTCGTAACCTCTGAAGAAGAACTGTTGAGGACAACTGTTTTACAAGATATACTGCCATGGAATAGTTCTGGAAAAAAAAAAAAGATGTAGAAAACAAACAACATACGTAAGTAAATAGTACATCTATTTAATCCCACAGTGATAGGGAAAGAAAACTAACACTTCTTACAACACCTGCTGTGTGTCAAGCACTGTCTTAGGTGTTTTCGTAAACAGTAATTAACTTAATCCTAACCAAAAGGCTGCTGAGGTGATTATAAACCTATTTTCACAGATGAGGAAATTAAAGCATGGAGAATTAAAAGAACTTGGCCTAATTTTGCAATTTTCAAGTGACAAACCCAGATTTTAAACCCAGGTCTGTCATGCTCCTATGTTACCTGACTACGTATATTTGAAACTAATGAACTTAAGGCACTTACAAGAAAGAACTGTTAAGACTAAATATAAGCAAAGGGCAATAAGATGTCAAAGTTATCATAAACCATATTTAGTAGTTAATAGATATATCTAAAATAGTAGCTATTTTTTTTTTATTACAAATAAGATTGGCTTCCTAGGCTACACCTTTTAACCTCTTTCTATGCCTTCCACTAGGCTCTTGAAAAGACCCTATTTGTGCCATTATCACAACAAGCAGACGGATTATTAAAAAAGGTTTTCAAAGAGACGCTCCTGGTTTGGCAAAAGAATAGATGAATATCCACTGCTAGCAGAGGGGACTACCCAGAGATAATAGTGGGAGAAGGGGCAAAGAAGAAAGCCAAGACTGAGTGAAGGGCACATGGTTAGATAAGAGGAAGAAAAGAGGGCTGAGGTTTATGAAGGGTAGGAGAGAGATCTAAATGAGAAGGACCACTTTTCATTTGGTGCTGGGATCAAGAGTAAGATTAAGAGACTTGAAAAGAAGCAAAAGGAAAAATAGCTGCTGCCATCATTACATTTTATAGCTACATACATTTTTCAAGACACAATTAACATATACTGTCTATTTCATTTAAACTTTGCAGAAGGCCTATAAAAGATAGGTAGGATAGGCATTTTTCTAAGTGAAGCGTTGATGAAACTGTGGCACAAAAAGCTTATATAATCTGCTCATGATCATGCAACTGCTTGGTGACAGAGCAGGCACTAGAAACCAAAAGCAAAGACTAGGAATATCAGGGGAAGGGATTTAATGATCGAGGCTAGTGTAGTTCTCTGTAGCTCTTGCTTTCACATATCCTACTAGCTTTGAACCTCCTAATCTAGTCCAATGCACCGTCCAACTTTCACACTTCTGAAAATGCATTCCTCTCTTTTGGCAGAAAATATCCTACAGTACCCTCTGGAAGGTCAAATTTTCATTTAAAGTTCAGAAACCTATCCATGTTCACATGCTACATATTTTCTGGGGAAAAGAAAAATGAAGTGTCAAAAAAGCTAATTTACTTTCATTAATAAATTTCACAATATATTAACAAAGAACAAATCACCTTAAAATTTTCCTCAATTTTAGAGCATACAACATACTAATCTAACACAGAACTGAAAAGCTTCTTTTAAAAAAAAACGCCTTATTCACCATTATTAATCATTTGCTTAATGCTTCAAGTATGATAAAAACTGGAGAAATGCTAATTAACACTGTGAAATTATGTATTGACAGCTTGAATCTTCAGAACTTGGAATTACCCTAAGGCTTTATATAAATATTTAAGAAGAGATCAAGTAGAAACCACAACAAGAAGTTCAATGAAAAGGTATGTTCACTCTAGTCAAAACATGTAACCAAATAGAAAAAAAAGGCAGCACAAAGAATGTCAGGTATTAACAAATGCCACTTGTACTAATAATAAAAAGTTAAAATTTACATCATCTGGAAGAGGTTGTACAGCAAAAAGCTCCAAAATTTAACAGTAGCATAGTATCTCTTCTAGATGATATTATATTGTTTCTGCTAACCTTTCAAAATACTATTTAATTCCAACTATTGATATATATACTGTATTATATCAATATTTTTGTTTTTTGCTTTTTTGAAAGTCTTCAAAATTCTTTATTAAGTTCACAAGACACTTTCTCCATAACTGAAATATAATCTACTTATTATATGCCCTTCACACCAGTATAAATTGAGTATCCCTTATCCGAAATGCTTGGGACTAGAGGTGTTTTGTGTTTTAGATTTTTTCAGATTTTTGAATATTTGCATTATACTTACTGGTTAAGCATCCCCTAATCCAAAAATCTGAAATCTAAAATGTTCCAGTAAGTATTTTCTTTAAATGTCACGTTTTGGATTTTACACCATTGTGGATTTCAGATTAGGGATACTCAACCTGTATTTAAATAATTTCTCTACAAATAATGAGAGTTTAAGAAATGCTAAATGCAGTGAGGTTGGATAAATAGGATAAGTTATAATACAGCTCACTTACTTCCTTTAGGCACTATACTAGCTCTCCTATTTATTTCACTTGAAAAGACATTTTTATAACATTTCTCAATGGCAACCAATCATATAAAACTTATCTGCAAAATAGTAAGAGATTCTACATGAACTATTCACAGTATTTTTTTTTTTTTGAGACAGAGTCTCACTCTTTTTGCCCGGGCTAGAGTGAGTGCCGTGGCGGCAGCCTAGCTCACAGCAACCTCACACTCCTGGGCTCAAGCAACCCTTCTGCCTCAGCCTCCCGAGTAGCTGGGACTACAGGCATGCGCCACCATGCCCGGCTAATTTTTTCTATATATTTTTAGTTGTCCGATTAATTTCTTTCTATTTTTTGGTAGAGACGGGGTCTCGCTCTTGCTCAGGCTGGTCTCGAACTCCTGAGCTCAAACAATCCGCCCGCCTTGGCCTCCCAGAGTGCTAGGATTACAGGTGTGAGCCACCGCGCCCGGCCTATTCACAGTATTTTTACATGCTGAATTAAAATAGTGTTTTAAAAACAATCTAGTAAGTTATCTTCTGGGCTTTGGAAAAGAATAATTTTCTTTCAATATTTTACTTCAAAAAAAAAAAAAGTTCCCCAACTTATAGAACTTCAAATCTCTGTGCTTTGGAAGCTTTTCATGGAAAAGTATCTCCGCCCCTCCTCTAGTGCGATATGTGAGCAACCATATTCCCCTTCTCTCCTACAGTTTCACACTTTTTTCATATTTCAGCAAAAATACTCCCCTTCTTCCTTGGTAGGCTATACTTTTCACACACACACACAAAAAACAAAATATTTTCAACATTTCATTCTAAATGGGGGGAAAAAGGATATACCAGAAGTAAAACATTTAAAAGGATTTTAAGAACCTAATGATGACACATTAATTAGTCAAAGGAAAAAAATACAACCCTAATAGGTGTCAAAAAGGATTCTGATAATACTCAACATCCATTTCTAACAAAGATATCCAGTAAAAGAGGAACATAGGAACACATCATTGATATAATTAAGTTCTATCAAAATTAAGAGCCATTATAATACTTAATGTTATAACAGTAGCAGTATTCTCATTAATGTAAGGAACAGGTCAAATATGTCCACTAGCACCTGTTATTTAACACTGTTTGCAAAGTTCTATCCACTAGAAGAACAAGAAATAATGGCATGAATATTAGGATTACCATAATCTGTACAATGATATATCTCAAATTCAAAACTGCTCACCTGGAAATACAAAGAAATTATCTAAAAAGTTACTGGAACCAATATATGAATATAGCTATGAAGTAAATATTCAAAAATAACTAGCTTTTAAATGAATCAACAATAAATAAATTCTTTAGAAAATATAATAAAGACCTACTTATAACAATAATTATAGCAATAATTATAGCAATAATAATAATAGCCCACATAGGAATTAACCAAAAAAATGCAGGATTTATAAGAAATCTATTAAATTACTGAGGAACATAAAAGAGGATCTGAAAATACAGTTCCTGGAACAGATATTTTAAATATTGTAAATAAATAAATTCTCCCTAACTTAATCTATAACTTTAAAGAAATCTCATTCAAATTCTCAGAAAAATGTAGGGGTAGGGCAGGGAAGGGAGGAGAAGGAACATGATAAAATAATTCTATAGCTCATCTGGAAGAATTTATGTGAAAAAAATAGGAGTGCAGGGGAACATGTCTCACACACTGTAATAACTTTTCCAACCTTTCTACTCTCCTCAAAGCCCTAATTTCTTCCTTCACTCTCAGCTGATTTATCTCAGAGACATAAGAAAATTCATCAAATCAGAACTTACTCACCTCTCCAGTACCAAATATATACATATACTTAGTTCTTTTATTCTCCCATTAAACAAGCTGTTCCTCCTAGCTACTTTGAGTTCCTCCAACCATGCAATTCACTATTGATTATCCCAACTTTCCCTTGTATATGTGATCTCTTACTCTCAAGAAGATTCCCACCATCATTTTCTAAACATGTTAATGACTCTCCCATTAAAACAAACAACTCTCTCATCTCACATTTCCCTCCAGCTCACCCTCATCTCTTTCCAAAGTCAGGCTTCTATAACTATCTCCACTGCCTCACCTCAGCTCAAATCACAATTTGGTTTGTACTTCCCCCCATCTACCAAAACAGAGCTTGTGCTACAGTCAGCTTCATGTTTGTAATTCAAAGGGTATTTTTTTAGACTTCAACATACTTGACCTCTCAACACCTGTTCAATACTGCTTACCATCTCCTTCCTTTCTGAAACTCTTCTCTTAGTTTCTCATACCCAATACCTCTGCCCCACCTCTCTGTCACTGTTTCCCCATATCCTCTGTAGGCTCATTCTCTTCTTCCCACCATTAAATGTTATAGTTCTTCAAGGATAGGTCTTAGGCACTCCTCTCTTCCTACTTGATTCATTACACCTAATCAATGTCAGCCCTGTCCCTGTGGCTTCAATAACCAACAATATGCAGATGACTCGCACATTTTTTTTCTCTAACCCAAACTTATCCTCTGAGCCTATCTGCTGAATTGCCTATTCAGGATGTCTCAAAGGCATCTCAAACTCAAAAGTTTCAAAACCGATCTCACGATTTTCTCCATCTAGTCCTCCAACACCCCTTCCTCAAAGTAAAACAAAACAAAACACACCTAAACTCAGTCCTTTTTCAGTGTTTCCTCTATCTCAGCAATAATATCATTCACCTAGGTACCCAAGTCAGAAACCAAGGAGTCATCTGTGCCATCTCCCCTTCTCTTAGCCCCTACTTCCAATCCATCACTTAGTCCTGCATCCCCTACTCATCTCCATCATCTCCATGCCCACTGCCTCTGCTCTAGGCTAAGAAGCTCTCTCACTAATACTTCTGCAATAGCTGGCTCCAAAGAGGTGGCCTCTCTGCATGATTCTGGCCTCCATTTAAACATTTTACCACTCTGAAAAGTGACATTCTCTAAACAGAAATATAGCCCTGTAAATTTTCTGCTTAAAAAAAGAAAATCCTTAACTTTAACATTACCTACAAGGCCCTGCATGATCTGGCCCTATCTTACCTCTCCAGGCCCATCTCATATATTATTCTTCCCCATTCTCTGTACTCCACTCACCCTTTCAGCCACTTGAAAAAATCTAGGCTCACCCCTGCCCCTGAACCTTTCACCTAACTTGATTGCTACCCTTCTCTCAGCTCTTGGCTCAGTCACTATTACTTCCTTGGGGAAGCCCTCCCTGACTTTCTCTCTCTCTCTTGTTCAAAGTGCCCTTTAATACACTCTGAAATCACCACATACCTCCCCTTTATAGTACTTACAATAAATAAATGCACATATTTTTGAGTGTGACCACCTGGCCCCTAGGTCTCATGCCCCAGGAGAGGAAACACTTTTTTCTCCCTACGGTACTGCCAATTTTGAGTATACTGCATGGCACACAGTAAGCATTCAATAAATTTCAAATAAATTAGTGAACAGATATGAACTCAGATTATTTCAAAGCTTATTACAGATTATTATATTTAAAAATTGTAATTTTCAAAAAAATTGCCCCAGAAAAATAATGCTAGATTAATAAACAATACAGAAAAAGTTCAGAAACACACCCAGGATATATAAAAATTAAATATATAACAGTGGGTGCTTCAGAATCAACATTTATTTAGTTAATGGTGCTAGAACTGGCTATTTAAAAAATGAAAGCAATTTTTATCTTATGCCACAAGTAAATTTAATATGGATTAAATATTTACAGGTAAAATATGAAGTCCAGAAGAAAATATAAACAAATATTTACATAAGCTTGGGAAGGGCAGATAGACAAAGCATGATGGGGAGGGAAAAAAGACTATTAAGGAAAAAAAAGGTTAAAATTTGGCTCCATAATAATTTAAATCTTCTACATGTTAAATAATCACATAAATAAAAGGCAAACAAACTAGAAAGAAATATATGCAGCATGTAACAGAGGATTAAGTCACTATATGAAGAACTCACAAATCAGTAAGAAAAATAGCAATAGAGAAATAGACATGGATAAAATTTTAAAATGTAAATAATCACAAACATAAAACATTCAATCTCAGTAATAATAAAAGGGGTACTAATTAAAGCAAAGTGGTGCCATTATTTAGCTAATAAAATTGGTAAAGATTTTAAAGAAGATAATAGTTAAGTGTTGACAGGCATGTGAATAAATACTGAAAGAGAATAAATTCGTACATCTTTTGAGAAGGCAATCTGTCAACATACACAAAATTTCTTAAAATTCTGCATGTTCTTTGACTTAGCAATTCCACTTTGGAGAATTTACTATAAGGCAATTATCATGTATGCATGCAAAGCTATGGATACTGGGACGGTCTTCAACATGTTCTTTGAAACAGCAATGAATGAATCAATCAATAAATCAAGTAAGTAATCAACAGTAGGAGACAGGCTAAATTATAGATATTCATACTGGAATATAATGTAGCCATTTAAAATAATGCAGAACATGTAATGACACAGGAAGAGGTCCATGATAAATTGCTGAGTAAAAGAATCAGGTTATAAAACACTGGCTACTGCATGATCCCATTTTTCAAATGGGAACATGTTGAAAATTCGTTGTAAAACAAAAATAAATCCTTTCGTAACTCATTTTATAATATCATTTACATATAAGCTCAGGTAGCGAGAGTGAAAAACCCTTCCTTATAATACAAAAACCTGGTAGAAACAAAAATGTACTTACTCTTCCAATTTCTGCAGTCCAAGAAACAACAATCGTGTTTGGTACTGTTGTGGACAATCGGACAAGTGAGGTTATATTAATTGGTCGGCTGGGTCGCTTTGGTTCCACACCATTTTTAGTAGGTGGAAGATAACCCTAAGAATGAAATATAATTTATTTCTACTTAATATTTTCACAATCATTTCAATTTCCATTCCTTTAAAAAAAAAAAACCCAACAAATGACATACCAGAAAAATTGAATGTCTTCATTAAAAAGTAGAGAAGCAAATATTTACATTAAAGTTTCATTATAGTAAACCTGAGAAAAATATTAGTGAAAGGAATCCAAAATCTCTTAAATTTAAGAATCAGGAAGACAACCTATAGTTGTCTTCATGATATTGCCAATTATTTGTTTAAGCATGTTCTGAGAAGCACTAGCTTCCTTGGATATTAACAAGTGTTAAAAAGAAGAAAAAGATTCTTTAGTTAAACAAATTTAAGAATCAAAATAATTAAGAATGTCTCAGAGCTTTTAATATATTAGTATGTATTATTAAATATAAATTTCTAAGAGGAAGACTTAGTATCTGTATAGTATTTTCCAAATTTATAAATAGCTTAGATAGATATATAAGGACTATTTTCAAGGGGACTAAAACCAGCCCCCACCTTTACCCCCTGTTTAAGGCACAGCATTCTTCAAATCTCCATTCTACCATAGGCTTATAGAATCATATGAACACAATTGAGATTCTGTTGAAATAACTTCTTCTCCCCCAAATCCAGTACAACACTAAAGCTATCACACCCAACTCCAAATCCTGGACTTTGTCTCCACAACTAATGTCACGGCTGCCAACTGTACATAGTTAGTACCAGTGTTTAACCCAGTCCCGTGAATATATATCCAAAATAAAAATGTTTTCTTAAAGAAAAAGTATGATTAACAACAGTTGTGATGGTTTATTGGATAGTTATGTTGCCAATGCATTTAAAAACATAGCTTTTAGGACTTACCGGAAGGCTGCAAGGTTTTGTATTCACTTTCACACAAAGATTGGGTGGGAAGTGATCTTCTTGTGGACAACTGGTTTCTGATAAACAAAACCTAAATAATAAAGGACAAGTTTAAGTTATTAAAGGATGATCACATTAGTATTTTGTTCAATAGCTAATTTAAAAGATAGTCAACTTAACAAAAAAGGGAAAACTATAAAAACTGGACATTTAATTTGATAATTAAACATACATTAAAGCATATATTAAGCTTAAAATAAATATTTCTATCAATGTAAAGTTTCAGCAATCATGAATGCTAACATATAGTTGACTTCGTGATATTGCCAATTATTTGTTTAAGCATGTTCTGAGAGGCACTAGCTTCCCTGGATATCAACAAGAGTTAAAAGGAAGAAAAAAGCTCTGTAGTTAAATAAATTAAAGAAATTCTGAATCCAAACAATTAAATTACAAAGCTTCTCAAGGCTTTTAATAAGTTAATATGTATTATAAATCTCTAGGAGACAGACATAGTATCTGTATGAAGTATTTACCAAATTTATTTGTCTAAGAAACATTTTTATGGTTCTCAGCAGAAAATATTGAAAATGCTTTGAGGCCATCCCTAGGACAAGTTCATCCCTAGGAAAAAGTTCATCCCTAGGAAAATGCTTTGAGGCCATCCCTAGCACAACAAGGGTCTCTAGTAAGCTAACACACTGTGTTATATCCACACGAATTTAGAATATTACTTTAGAAACTCCAGAAACATTTATTTCTAAATTAAATGCATAATCTTTTGGAAAAACCAAGGATAGCTAAGAAATTTATAAATTCTCACTCTATTCACTCTTACATAAAATAAATTATTAATCTGCTATCCAAGACATCTATTCTTTATTAGTTCCTATACCCAAGGTTCATTCCACCTTTACAGAATGTTCACAACACCCTTGAGTTACATGGTAAGGAGACCTCTATCTCTGAATTCTGTGAAATATTCATCATGCGCAAACATCTTTTCTCAGCACCTGTGGTGCAGGGTCTTAACTTGCTGGCCACAGGATGTGAAGGTGGGGATGGTCCACAAAATGGGACAATTTTATATATAAAATTTTATGAGTACATATATTAATAGATGTTCATTTTTATAGGAAGACAATCCATACCTTCCATTAAATTCTCAAAGTGATCCATAAAAAAGTTAAAAATTACTGATCTACAAAGATTTTACAGAAATATACTTAGCAAACAGATGTCAAAGCTCACATGACCATCTCTAACCTCAGCAGGACCTTCCATTTACAGGCTAATTCTTTATAATACAATAAGATGATGTCACAGTTTTTAATCAATTATTCCAATGCAATGATAAATGTAAAACATGGACCATTTTCCTATAGCCGCTTGGAGCTCCAGGAAAAGAATAATTCACATGACAAGTCGACTTCTATTCAACCAAATAAAAAGTGAAAATCTAAACTACCCTAACGAACAGAAGGGAAAAAAGGAAAAAAAATGGAAAAATAGCAAAAAAAGTTTCTGTGACGTAGTTCATGGGGGTGGAGGTGGGGGTAAATAGGAGAGTGGTAACAGATACGTAAATGAAAATAGACTAGGTGTCTAACAGAGAAAGCATTGATCCTAATTCTGACCAAATTATTTTCATGCTTTAGATAAACATTTATAATTAAGATGGCAGATAGGCATAATCTCTTAACTTAAATAATACATTAGGGCTATAGACCTAGTAATGGAGGGATTAGGGAGATGAAGAACCGTTTTATTAAAACACAAAGAACTAATTAATAATTAACAAATGTAACAGAAATTTTTTTCATCAAGTTCTGGGGATAAATTTGAATTAAAAATGGCTAAACCATTTTTAGGCTGGGTGTAGTGGCTCATGCCTATAATCCTAGAACTTTGGGAGGCCAAGGTGGGAGGACTGCTTGAGCTTAGGAGTCTGAGACCAGCCTGAGCAAGAGTGACACCCCATCTCTACTAAAAACAGAAAAATTAGACAGGCGTCGTGGTGTGCGCCTGTAGTCCCACCTACTCAGGAGGCTGAGGCAGGAGAACATCTTGAGCCCAGGAGTTGGAGGTTACAGTGAGCTATGATGATGCCACTGCACTCTACCTGGGGTGATAGAGCAAGACTCTGTCTCAAAAAAATAACATAAAATAAAAAATGGCTAAACCATTTTTAACATCAAAATTCCCTTGGAATCTCTGAATTAGATAACCGATATATCTTAAAAAGATATATGAACCATAACTGTTGCTGCTTTCAAGAATGTATGTATATTAATATAAAATACTAAAAGTAACTAGATCTTTCATTCTAGAGCTAGGGTTTTTAAACTTTATTTTGGTCTTGGGACCTTTTCTTCAAGTGAAAACTAACCCAGAAGTCAAAAATGAAAAACGTATAAAAAGGATAAAGGCAGCAGTACTTTGGTTCAGGAATGTGTACATGTATGTGTTGGGGTCAGGGAAAGAGGATAAGGGGAATGGTAGCAAGAGTGTGGACCTCTAAGAATGGCTCTATGCAATACTTTGAAATGACTATTTGAAAGGACAATGTCAACTATCAGTATGATTAAAATGTAAAGCAAACTGTTGAGGAAGGAAGTAAAGAAGACTACAGCAATACGTAATTATGAAGATATCATATTTTCATCCTTTAATTTATTCAGTCATTTTATTACAGTCTGCCCCTGACAGATAAAGTACACCTTTTATACAGAATCACCTTTGTCAATACCTTCTAAAACCAAGACTTAGATCATTATTTAGTCTACTGGGATAAAGCTCTGTCATGTTGTTTTATGGTATAAATGCCAATAAATATAGTCATATCCTGTTTACAGTCTTCAGCTCAACCTCTCCTCTGCTTTTTCACTGTTTTCACCTTACTATTTAAAAGCCTAGATGAGAGGTTTTTACATTGTTCCATGAAGCACTGAGCAGGTGTTTTAGATTAATCTCTTTTCTGACCTCCTAGTATGTTTTTAATTTGTACATACAACTTAGTATCTGATTATTGATACCAAGCTATCTGTTTGATTTACCCTTCTCACAATATAAGGAAAACAGCTACTAAAGAAAACAATCGTCTTTTATTTTATTTTCTATTCCTATTGCAACAAGAACAACGTGGGACACAGGTTCGTATATGGATAGTCATAGAATAATAAGAGCGCAAGATTGATTTATATAAGCAAGAGACATACAAATACAAAAGATTTCTTACATATTCTAAGAAGAAATGGGTGGGCTAAGGAAAGAAACTGAATAAGGGGAAGTTGTGAATCTATGTTGGAAAATTTTTCATTAGTCTTTGAAAACTTTCAAGAGATGTCTCAAATGGATTCTAAATTAGAGCATACTTAAATCAATTATTTAAAATATAGGACAAAGCAAATTAGAATATTTTGGTGTTAGTCCATGAGATACCGTAGACTTAAGTATTAGTTCCTTATCTATAGTAGTTTGCCTCTTATGGAGATAAGGCCCTCGCTTTCACAAAACCTGGTATTTCTAAAGAGCTGATATTTAAAGATATCACTAGCTAGAGCTTCTCAACCAATGGCAACCAAAGTAGAGAAATATGGTTAGATACATGGTACATGATTTGCTATACTAAAATCTAAATTGGATAAAAATTAGGATAGCTCATAACAGAATATTTTCCCTTAGTCAAATAACTAAAGCCAATAATTTCAATATACTTATTGAAAATCAGGTAGATTTTTAATTAATTTTTAAGGAATATTATCTGTTAAACTATGAGTATATACAGTAGTCAAAACTGTACCTTAACTGGACCTGCACCGTGAAGTCACATTTGGTCCCAGAAATATCCCTAGGACAGAAAGAAGCAAAATTATAATTATTTTTAAAATATGTATATGAAAGTTGAATCAAAGATACTGTTATTCCAGAAAAGTTTTTCAAATGATCAGATATAACTGTTCTTAGAGTAACTAACACACCATAATATTTTCAACACTAATATCTGCATGACAATAACATGAACTCACCAATACACTGCTTTTTAAGATCACTCATTATAGACAGTACGGGATTCAAAGACCAAACTGCAAGTTACAGTTGAAAACAACTTACATGGAACTACTGATTTGCTGCACTTGTTGTGGTGTCAAGGCAAATGCAAAACAGGTTTCTCGAAAGCGCTGACTGTTGTCTGATGCTAAAGAAGACAAGAATTATATTTTCAATTACTTTTAAATTTACCAGTAAAGACAACAGCAAAAAAACATACTCACATGTCTTTAATTAACTGGGATGCATTCTAGAGTTTAGATAACAAGGTAATGAAAGCACTGATAAATAAGAAATATGCTAATTGTAACATAAAAAACAGAAATAGGTACAAAAACAGCTAATTCCAGAAATAACATATCAGGATTCAGATTCAGAGAATATGTAATCAAAGGGAGACTAATAAAAAATTAACTAATCATATAAATGTTTGCATCCAAAAACGACACTTGTATAAAAACAACTGATACTTATTTTACTTAAAATAGAATAATATAAACCCATTTAAAGATACATGGTTTCTGAAAGAAGTAACAAAGATACCTGCCTTGAAATCTGCGCAGGAGAGACGGCATTTGATTTTTAAGGCAAACTGAAAATTTTTTCATCTCCTGTTTAACTCTACCATGCGAGTTTTATACAATAAATATACATAGTTTCGCCTATTCTTAGATGACTTGAGTTCAAAATTTGCTTATCGTCACTATCTCAAAGAAGGAAAGAGTTTAAGAAGAAGGGAAGGAAGACAATAAAATAGAGAGGAAGGGAGGGAGGGGAAGAGAGGTGAGGAGAGAGAAGAGAGTAAGCAAGCTGATAGGCAAGTACAGTCAGACTAAAGCAGGGATTCCTAAAGTATGACATTGTGAGCAACAATAGTTCTATGGGATTTTAGCACGTTTTATATATGTGTGTATGTATGTGTGTGTGTGTGTGTGTGTGTATGTAAAATCAGTGATCAATATCCCTCTTGCTCACTAATGAGTCCTCAGTGCTTGGCGCAAAGAAGCACTGAATGACTATTATGTTGAATGAGTAAAGGAATACAAAAATTTAAGAAACCATCAGATTAAACTGTTTAAACTGTACTTTTCCAGGGTAATTTTCTAGAACAAAAGAATCACTAAGAGTTATTATTACCAAGAAACTCCTAGCATGTGGGCCACTTAAGACCTGTGCTGAAAAAGTAGTTGAAGTTGGCGGTTTCAATCTCTTGCTTAAACTGGGTTTGATCTTACCTGCAAGCAACACTTCCTTTTACAACTTTCACCCAAATTGCAGTATGTCATGTCAAAAAATCTGTACAAATGTATCACTATGAAAAAAATGGCAAACAGCACTGCTGATCTAGAATTTCATCTCAAGAATATCTTTTAAAGGTTAGATTTGGTTTCTGCTTTACGTGATTTGGGAAGGCTTTTTCTTAAAGAATCTACCACCAAGAAACAGTGAGTAACAGAAAGTTATCTTAATTGTGAAGCATCAACCTGGCAATGGCCAATCTAAGAGCCAGAATGTAGAAAAGCAGCAAACATTTCCCTGTCAATGTAAGCAACCAACTCGTTTGCTGCTTAAAGGATACACATCTCTATAAAGATCTTTGTCCAGTAGATTTGGCCTAATTTAAACCTTTGGCTCCATTCCAAAACAGTGCTAAAATAATTTACCAAGTACAAAAATTCATATTACTCTCTAGGCAAAATTTCAGATTCATTTTAGAATATATGACTACAGTAAGTTTTGGACACATATAGACTTAGGAAGATTTGACTAAAATAATGAGGCTATTTCCTGTGCTGCAAATGGAAATCCAACTTAATAATAATCCCTATTTATATCCCCTTTTATGTATACATTATAATGCTCATGGGGTTGCTACCATTTATCTGAAAAAGCACCTTTCACACTCTGTGGTTTTCAGACTTAATTGCTGCTACAAATGTCAGTGAAGTCTTTATAGTTTTGTTTTAGACAGACTATCTAAAAACCTTTCTGAAAGTTAATTAAGCCATCATTAGCTCTTTCAGAAAAATTTAGGACAAATATTAAATAGAATCACAGAATCTTCATACTGAAAGGACTCTTACACAATCATCCAAAACAATGATCTCCAATGTTGGGGGTATGATGCATCTCTATTGGGTACAAAAGGCAATCCATAGGGATATAGAAAAAAAAAAATCTATCTATAAAAAAAAGTGTTATAAAGTTGAGATTTTACCTTAACCCTAAAATTTAATTTACAAAAAAATCTAAAATTTTAGTAAAACCATAATCTTTTAAATTTTGATTTTCCCTGTGTTTCATAACACACATAGTATTAGTACAATAGTTTACATATATATAACAGATATATATATTTATATGCAGTGTATGCTCAAGTATTTTGCTGAGAGATACATGCATTCAAATAAATGTGTAGACCATTGATTTAGAATCCAGCCTTCCTTTCAACCTTTCCATTCATTCTCTATCTGAACTCTTTTAGAGATGGGGGAGGAGTGGCCATTACTTCATTAGGTAGAAGATAGCTGGTGATGAACAGTTTAATTATAAGAAAGCTTGCAGCTCAACAGAGTGCAGCAAAATGTAGTAAAAAAGATGAGATTACACAGACCTGGATTCCAAACTGGTTTTGCCACTCATGTGCCTTGTGGCTTTGGGTACTTATCCACTGTTTCCTCCAATATTTAAATACACACATGCACACACACACCCTCATAGGGTTGTTTCGAAGAATATATATGAAGTAACACATTTTAAAACAACAAACAATTTCCTTTTCTGTTCCCTTTCCTTCTTATGATACTGCACTGAAACAAAATATATAATGCGTAACTTCCACCCATTGATACCATATAGCACTGAACTAATATCGCTCTCCAGTGACAGCCATTCTTCAAATATCTGAAGAGAGCATTAATGTGCCCCTCCCTTTCCATTGACTCTTTCCACTGTATTTCAAGCAAGATTTCAGAATTACTCACTATCCTGATCTTCCTCCTCTGGATACACCCCAGGTTGTTATACTCTTATTAAAGTAATTGCCAGGGTGGCACAGTGGCTCACACCTGGAATCCTAGCACTTTGGGAGGCCTAGGCAGCAGAATCACTTAGAGCCAGGCAACAAAGTCAGACACTGTCTCTACAAAAAAAAATAATAATAATAAAAGTTTAAAAATAGATGGGTGTGGTGGCCCACACCTGTAGTCACAGCCTGTAGTAAGCTATGATTGCACTACTGTACTCCAGGCTGGGTGACAGTGTAAGACCCTGTCTCTTTAAAAAAAAAAAGGGGGCAGAGGGTGGTCAGGGACAGCCAGAACTGGACACACTCTGTCAAAGCATGTTCAAAAGGTGTTATCATTCTGTACTGACCTATCCAGTGTGCTATATAGGTATTGGTAATGTACATAACAATCATGAAGAAAAGGTATCAGCCCCTTTTTCAGATGAAGAAACTGGGGTTCAGAGTTGGTACTACATTGTCATTCTACATACTTGAAAGTAGAAGAATCAGAATTGGAACTCAGATCTGCATGTCTCCTGTCTCCAAAGACCGTGTTCTTCTCATAACATAGGCTTATTAGCTCCCCTGCTCTGGGTGCTGTGCTAATATCCAATGAAGCCTTGTATTACATTGGATCACAGAAAATAAGAACAGAATTACCTACTATCTCCTTACCATAACTGCTTATCATTTTTATGTATTTCCTTCAAGTCATTCTTATATCAAATTGTATCTACAATATGAAAGCTCACTTTTAAAAAATTATCCCCTCTTTGCATGAGAGTATTAATTTTTTTTTAATTTAAAATTTAGTCTTATTACATTTTTCAACTGCGATCTCTATTAACCATATTTTAATTATTGTGTTGTATTCTATCAGGGGGCATATGAAAATGTTAATTACTCCCCTGATTAGCCATTTAGGTTGTTTCTAATTTTTCGCTGTTTGAAACAACTCTGTGAACATCTTTGGGTTTACAGATTTGTTTTTTGGAAGATGGGAGGTTATTATTTTCTTTGGATCAATTCCCAGATGTGAGATTTCAGGTCAAAAAGTATGGAGATTTTTATGAATCTTGACACATCTTAAGAGTACTTTTCAAATGGTTACTTTATATATAAGACCATTAGCAATTTACCCATCTAGTAATTACACCCTACTCTGGCCTGCATGGGAGTTGTAGCTAATGTATTGGGTGGATCCTGGTAACTCCTTAGTAGTTTAATTTGCATTTAAAATATTTCCATGTTTGTTTATTTGTTGAATTTCCTATTTAGTTAATTGTCTAATCTTGTCCTATGCCAATTCATATATTTGCATAAGGGTCTCATACATAAGAACATTAAGACATTGAAAATTTGCTAGAAGTATTTTCCCCAGTCTGGTACTTTTTTTTTTCTTCATTTGGGCTACATTTTTGGATGATATAAAAGTTAAATTTTTATGTAGTCTGTCAACTATCTCCTTTGTAAATTCTTCTACTAATTCTAAACTCAGATAGTAATTTCCATTCTTAATGTCAATCAACACACAATTAAATTCTTTGGCTCGTTTCTATGTAATTATTTAATCCATCTGGAACTTATTTTAGTATATGATATTTTACAAATCTAGGCCGGGCGCGGTGGCTCACACCTGTAATCCTAGCACTCTGGGAGGCCGAGGCAGGCGGATTGTTAGAGCTCAGGAGTTTGAAACCAGCCTGAGCAAGAGCGAGACCCCGTCTCTACTAAAAATAGAAAGAAATTAATCGGACAACTAAAAATATATAGAAAAAATTAGCCGGGCATGGTGGCGCATGCCTGTAGTCCCAGCTACTCGGGAGGCTGAGGCAGAAGGATCGCTTGAGCCCAGGAGTTTGAGGTTGCTGTGAGCTAGGTTGACGCCATGGCACTCACTGTAGCCCGGCAAAAGAGTGAGACTGTCTCAAAAAAAAAAAAAAAAAAAAAAAAAAAAAAAAATCTAAATTTCTGTTACCCCAAATTACTTATGGTTATATTAATAACATTTGTTAAATAAACCTTCCCTTCCCTATGGATATGTGTGCTTCTTTTATCATATGTTAAATCCTTATAGCCAACATTTTTCATTTCTGGACTGTTTCCCCAATGGTCATTTTTATTCTGGTGCTGGTACTTTT